GGAGCGCATTAACCATGAGGTCCTACGGCATGGCCCGGGAGCAGACCACTCTGTAAAAGAGACCCGAGCAGAGGGTGTAGGGATGGGCTGTTCCTATTCATTGGACTTTCAAATATTCTATTTCCCTGAACTTCCAAAGCAGGAAAAAAATTGTGCTTTTAAAAAGAAAAGTTCATTCCTTTGCCTACTCTCCTTAGGAAAAGAAATGCCTCCATTAACAGAACATTCCATCAGGGTCGGGGATCGGCCCCCGCGCCCCCACCGCCTTGCAGAGTCCGGAAGAGTCTGGGGTGACCTGCTTCTTTCTTATGTTCCCAACTGCCTGCCTCGGCACAGGCTCATCCTCCCACCAGGCCGCGTCCGAAACCCTCCTGAGGACGAGGTTCACTTTCTTCTTCCTTCCACTTAGCTCTTTATAACCTACAGCAAACTGAAAGTACTTAACTTCTGAGAATACTTTTAACCAAAAATCCTGAGCTACATGTATTATCTCTAGAAACACAAGTAGGAAGAGAGAGGTTCTCCGGGAGGTGGTGCATCGCCTTCAGCTCTACTAACCTGGTGGGTCCCGATCTTGGAAAGAGCGGGGACCCCATCCATACCCTACAGAAGGAACGCGAGTCCGCTTTTCTTGGCTAGCAAGCCCCAGCCACATCTTCTAGGAACAAGAAAAGTTGCTGAACAGGATGAGAGGCGCACTAAGGTATAACAGGAGAACATTAGGAAAGTTCTCCATTGCAGCATTTTAAAAAAAGAAGAAAAAAAAGGTTTTCCCAAAAAAGATCCAGATCACACAAGACAATCTAACCCCATAAACACAGTATTCTCAAGAACACAAATACTCTATAATTAAGCATTTAAAATCCTATTTTCCCATGTTTTATACTTTTTTGTGTTTTTACTTAGTAGTTTTTCTCGTGTTTTCCTTGGCTCAATCTACAGAATACTAGCCCACCGCGCACATCCAGTGCCCTCCCGGCCATCGAGACGCTAGGCTTGTGCGTGTCACGCCCCGGGGAGTGGGAGAGGGAAACGTGAGCCCCACGGAGTTGAGGGTGGGAGGCGGGCAGAGGGCCTGCTGGAGGAGTAAATGCAAAGATTTATGAGGTAGATAGAAATCATCACTTCACAGGCTCAATCCCTGCAGAGAAGACAAGTACATTCATCTGTAAAAAAATAAAGATGAGGTAGGACTTAGGCAATGTTGTACTTTTCTTGTTCTCTTTAAACAAAAGAAAAAAAGAAATTTCCCTGAGACTGTTTCTTCTTTGAAATTCAAAGGGGGGGGAGAAAGAGAGAAAGAGAAAGAGAGAGACATGCACACCCCAAACACAGAAGCCTAGAAAATGTGATTAGAAGATGAGAATTCGATTGTTGCCAAAGTCGACCACGACGATCATCCCATCGGGCGTGACGGCGATGCCGGAGGGGCGGTCCATCTGCCCAAAGCCACTGCCCTGAGCGCCAAACTTGCACAGGAAGCTGCCGTTGGACTCGAACATCTGTACCCGGTGGTTCCTGGAATCGGCCACAATGATGCGCCCCTCCTGGTCCACGGCCACGCCCTGCGGGCGCAGGAACTGCCCATTGCCGGTGCCCTCTGAGCCCAGGAAGCGTGCGGACTGGCAATCGGGATGAATGACCAGGAGCCGGTGGTTGTTGAAGTCGGTGACCACCAAGTGGCCCTCATGGTTGAAGGCCACACCCCGAGGGGAGTCAAAGTGCTTCCAGAGAGCCCCCTCGAAGCCATACTTATTCAGGAAGACTCCATCGGGCCCGAACAGCTGGATCCGGTGGTTCCGAGTATCAGAGACGAGGATCTTGCCCTCGGAATTCACCGCCACATCCCAAGGGTAGTTGAACTGCCCATTCTTGGTTCCTTTCTCACCAAACTTGAGGAGGAACTGGCCCTCAAAGGTGAAGACCTGGATTCGATGATTGTCCTTGTCGGCCACCACGATCCTGCGGGAGGCGTCACAGGCCACCCCGGCTGGCCGGTCGAACTGCCCGGGCCGAGAGCCCAGGGTGCCAAATTTGTGGTGGAAGGTGCCGCAGGGCTTGAACACCTGGATGCGGTTGTTGCTGCGGTCGGCGACCACGATGTAGCCCTCCTTGTCCACACTCACACCCCAAGGGCGGCAGAGTTTCCCATCGCTGTCGCCCTCGCTGCCGAAGGTGAGGCCCGGGAGCCCGATGCCTACGTAGCTGCGGCCCGACTTGACCACCACCTTGAAGGGGCTGTTCTCGATGTGCTGGTTGCACAAGGTGACCGACACCAGGTGCTCGCCCTCCAGCTGGGGCCGGTAGCTCACCAGGTAAGTCCCGTTCTGCTGATCGCTCACCTCCGCCCCAAACAGGTTGCCATCAGGGCCCAGGACCACAGCTGACATTAGGTCGCCTCCTGAGAGACGAGGCTCCCCATCGTGGTCGTAGCCAATGACAGTGAAGGTGGCCACCTTACCCTGAAGAGCCCGCTTGAGGCCATCGCCGGTGGCCTTGGTGAGTGGTGCGAAGGCCCCGCTGCTGACAAAGCCGAAGGACTTGATGGCGAGGTACAGTGCCTGGTCTGGGGGCGTGAACATGACCCGGTCGTCTTCCTGGGGCTGCAGGAAGCTGCGCACCGTCTTCAGCTCCTGCACCTGGGCCAGCATGCGGTCTCGGGCCAGCAGGATGTCCAGCGCCCTCCCCTCCTCCAGGACCTGCTGGACGGCACTGATGGTGCTCTCGAGCTTGTTGAGGTTCTGCCGCAGCTTCTCCACCTGCAGGTACAGAGACTTGGCCTTCACCTGGCGGATCTTCTCTACCTGGAGGGAAAGGTGAGAAGAGCAAGAGGACACAGAGGCTTAGAACCAAGCGCAGAAAACACAAAACCTGACCCTAGTCAGGAGGGAGCCTCAGACAAACCCATGCTGAGCGACAATCCACAGAAACAGCTGGTCTGTACTCTTCAAACACAGCAAAATCCAAAGGTAAAAAAGGGCTGAGGAACTGTTCCAGATACAAAGGTCACCCAGTTGGTTCACAGTGCTTTGCAAAGGGCCTACGGAGTGCTCTACTGATCTGAAAACTACAGAAAGCCTATTTCAGAATAAGGGTCCACTGCCGGGAAGCCTGGATCTTAATCGAATTTTTCCTTTGGGATGATATGATTTCTGACCCATTCACATGCTTTGTCATCTGTCTACTCTAGAAGCAGGACACATAAGTGCAGAGAGGCCCTTGTGGGGACAGATCAAAGAGAGGCTTTGTCCTTCAGTCTTGTACTGAACCAAACCTCCAGGCTTTGGCTCTGGTCCCTCAGCTAGTAAGCCATGTCCACTGGAAAATTATAAGCTACAGAATGAAAGGTGCATCCATAAAACTGATTCACTGGGAACTCAAGTATCTCAATGTTCAATAACCGAGATGTAAAAACACCAAAACATTATAACAAAAAGGTGCCAAGGGCAGAGATAGGCAGGAGATGTGCTGGGCGGGAGCAGAAAAATTATTAATAAAACAGAAGGGGTTCCCATATGATTTGGGGTGAGGTACCATAGCAAAAAGCAAAGATAAATGGGACTGAGTGTGTCCCGAACGAGCAAGCCTATGCTGGGAGAAATCTGAGAATGAGTTTTTAGGCAAGTAGAGACAAAGTTTATTGCACGATGAAATGGACGCATTTTCCAAATTTGCTTCTCCTAGACTAAAAACTTGCTTCCCATTCCTCCTGAAAGAGAACTGCCTTCAGAAGGGGCTGTGAGTCAGCCTTGCAGGAGGGAGGGTAACTTAGGTGAGATCTGCAGAAATGCACAAAGGCCTTTTCATCGGCAAATCCAGAAGAGCAAGTTTGTGGCAGAGTTCACCACGCAGCTCTCAGGTTGCAAGAAGTGGGCCCCTTGCAGTTATAATTAACATTCGTGGGTGGCATGAGACTTGACAGACCATGGGGACATCTGAGTGTCTGAAAACCATGTCAGGGCCACATAGGTGCCTAAATAAAATATGTGCTGAATTAAATCTTGGACTTTTTTCCACCCATGGAGTCTTTCTCTTCTCGTCAAAGAGCAACTGAGCCATATTCCTCAAGAGGTCAGAAGCAAGCAGTAGTTAGGAGCTAACAAAATGGAAAATGCAAGATCCAAGGTAGCCTTCCAGAGAACATTTTAGGGAATAGTGCTTGGTGAGGGTCACTTTCAGAAGTTCAGATGCCATCTCTACCATTGTATAATTTGGATGATCAAAACAAGCATGCACACACCTAAGTGCACCCTCTTTAATTAATCAGCTATGTACGTGGGCTTACTTGTGTGTTCAGAGAATGTAATTATAGTGGAACCAGCATGTGGCACAGGCATATTGCCCTCTTCCCTCTGAGTGGGGATAAGAGATTAGACCACCTTTCCAGCTGATTTTTTATCTAAACAGCACACCAGTGTGCTCAGCACTCCTTCCTGCTCCAACAGGAAGAAAGGGCACACGCTCACTGCCCTCACAAGTGGAAAACTGGCTTTCCAGAGGCAGGGTTCAGGAAGTGCAACCAGCCAGGACACCAAAAATAAGGGTGTTTCCTACCAGCCTGCTTTCATAACAACGGTTTCGATTGTTCCCTCTTACTGACTCCTTCTGAGCGTGTGTGCCATAGAGAACTTGGGACGCCTTCCAGTCTTGGTACCCGACTAGTTCTGAAAAGGCTTCTTGTTGTTTTACTGCCCCGAGAGCACCCATAAGGTTCCAGGGATCCCTAAATTTTTCTGCCAACGACCACTGGAAAACGACCAAGTACTCTAAATTTAGAGCTGGGGTCCAGGATCTGACATGTGGTTCACGGAAGAAATGCTGGCCGGCTGGGGCGGCCCACACTGGGGGTGGCCATGCTCTGTCCATTACCTTCCACAGCAGCTCGCACTCCCGCTCCTCCAGGGCCTTCTTATGCCTTGCCGTCACGGCTTTGACCTCCGACTGTACCACCTTGGCCTTCATCTCCACCTGTTCTGCCACCGTCTGGGCCTGCTCGATGCTCAGCTGGAAAACAAAAAACAATCCAATCCTATGGCATTAGGACCTTCATACACTTCAGACAAAACACTAAAGTCTGGTCGTCCCCCCCCACCCAGATCTGAAAAGCTAACACCCTGGGCCCCTAGACCGCTTGATCCACTGCCTTGGAAAGAAAGCAGACACTTTAGGGAGAGAATGGCACCTGTCTGACATGTAACTGAAGGAGTTGCTGGCAAGCGCCAGATTTCTTTGTATGAGAAATGGCACCTACACAGTGAATGTCAGGACTATTAAGAGATACTCTAACACAGTGAAACCAGTGTAGCTGGGTCGCAGCCGAAAACTGGAAATAAGGATCAGATGTGAAATGTACTACCCTGGGCACACGAGCAACTTCCCACAGACTTTCTGGCCTTACTGCCTGCCTGGGGGAAGCCCCAAAGGCGGGGCACATCCCTCACGTGAGCGTATGCAGTAGGCTGCGGGCCAGCGGTTATTCATCACCTTCCCGTCATGTCATTTCCAGCCAGAACCAACGCCAAGTGCATACTGGGAATACTGGTCACCTAAGAAACCGTGCCCTGTGGTCAGAGACTATCGACACACCCCACATACCCCACCCTGTACCACCAGCTCGAGTAAATCAGCCAGTTTAATCAGACGTATTATTGTTCATAAAAAATTAATCCAGACAGAAGGCCTCGTGTCTTCATTAATATTGCATGACACGTCTTCAAAAGCCACAAGGATTTCTTTGAGATACTGAGGTATTAAATCAGGGATTCCAAGCTAACTGCTGATGGTGCAGTAGTTTCAGAGCAGGTGTCCTGAACCAGGAGGGGCCTGGGGAAACTAAAGAGTTAGGAGCCTGACCTGGGCTCAGCAATTGGTTGTAGGTGACCAACCATCCGTGTGCCTGGACTGAGAAATTTCCAGAATATGGAACACATATATCAAACTAAGTGGGGGAGAAGTACCACAGTTCATGTTGTAACAGGAACAATCATCTATACGTTTTTAATTTGCTCATGTTTATGGACATAACCATGTTTTAATCAAAGCACTGGGTAACTGTACTGGGTTAGATACTGGTCCCTTTCCCATCAAATTCAGGTGCATCTAAAACCTCAGAATGTGATCTTAGTTAGAAATAAGGTCTTTGCAGATATTAAGATGAGTATTAAATCCAGTGACTTGTATCCACGAGGTCAAGTGAAGACAGAGACAGACACACAAAACGAAGGCTGTGTGAAGACAGGCAGAAATGGGAGTGCCAAGGAACACTGAAGATTGCTGGGAACCACCAGAAACTAGGAAAAGGCAAGGAAAGATTCTCAACCAAGCCTATGCCCGTAATAGTGCTTAATGTTTCCTCAATGGTCAGCAGAGGTGGCAAACTGCTTTCTCTTTATACCAATGTCCTATTATTTACCAAACTGATTTTCCATAAAGATCGCAAGGTATGGAAACAACAGGCTAACATTCCTGCAGGGCAAGAACTGCCTGGGAGAGCAATGACCCCCCCCTTTGCTTGGGGGGCCCACGGGAGTTAACATGCGGCTGTCTACTCACCTCTCCCCCTACTGTCTCCTAGCTAGGCTTGCTCCCTCATATCCTGCCAGACCCCTGCAAGCCCTTGGGTGTGGAACTCCTGTTTCTTCCATTTTTCAAGCAGGTGGAAGGAGTGAAATGTATCACTATAATCTCAGTCATCCCCAAACATCCAAGTAATATCAATCCTAGGGCTAGGAGTCATAAAGCCTTATGTCGCAGACAAAATGGATCTTTGCTCTCCAAACAGTACTCAATCCAGTTGAGCACTGCGCATTCCAAGATGTGCAGACGAGGACCTGCCGAACTAGTTCCCATTACGACGGCAGGGCCTTTGAAGGAGACAAGAGGCAGGTGGTTTGGGGAAAATGCCAGTGGGGAAGGGGCTGGGTAAACTTTGAAAACACAAACACACTTTGCAGTTAAACAACAAAAAATCAACAAACATGGGACTTGAGAAAAAAAAATGTTATTATATGTTAATAGATCCAATCAAACATTTGAAATTTGAGGGTCTCAATCTGGGCAAGTGAATCAGTCAGTGCATGTGAGCTGACTCAAGTGATGGCCACTTAGTACTGAGGACGCTGAGGCCGTGTGAGTGTGTTTCCTAGTGCAGAGACGTCTGATACGGAGAACGACCGCTAGTGGCCAAATGGCTGGTATTTATAGTGCACTGATAGTCAGAAGATAATAATAGTGCAAAGAGCGTATCGCCCATAAACTCACAGGCGAGCATACTAGACATAGAAAATATTGTAGTGCACGTTAAATATAATTTTAATCACATTTACTATCTTTGAAACTATGATTTAAAATTATCAGGGTTTTTTCTCTTTATTAGTTATATATAAAATAAAATCGCATCTTATATAAAATAAATGTGCATCTTACACTCAATGGCATCTTAAATGTGATAAAGAAATACAGCAATTAAAGAATCAAGGCTCTCTCAGGTGGAGAGCAACTATATCCCTGATCCTGCTTAGGAATATCCCCAGGTAATCAGTGCACCTTATAAAATCCTCTACTTACACAGGTGACCAAAATGTTTACTTTCAGGAAGAGTCAAAATAATAGAATGTTCTAAAAAGCAATAAAAACGATAAGGTACATGGCAGACATTTACCATGCTTTCATTGTTGTGGGTGACTCTAGACTCTCATCAAGGTAAGTTCCCTTTACCGGACTATCTAGAATTAACTGAAGGATTTAATTCTCAGTGGTTTTTCTAGAACTAAGACTCTTGAGCTAAATATAACCAAGTTGTGATTCTCTCAGAATCATAACTTACGAACTGTGGTTCACAGTCAACTGTACATACAATACTTGTAATTTAACATTGGAGAGTCAGTGGGAGAGATGTGCCTTTTTAATACACTCTCTTCCCATCCAGGAATTTATTAGAAGCTTACACAAAAGCTAACCTTGAACAGAAGTTGATGCGGACATCAGGATGGGAGGGAGAAAGAGGTGTCCAAGACAAGATGACCTCACCAGGGAGGTTAATACACAAACTGCACACAATACGGGGCTGCTTATTTATTACAGGAAAGGAGCCAATATAAATCTCAAGCCTTCTGGCACCAACACAAACACATAAACAAGGATCAGTGGTATTATTTGGGGTCCAGAAATGACGGGGGGAAAAGGCACAAACATCTCTGCTGAGCCTCGAGTGAGTGCATATTATCTCCAATTACAGAAGGGGAACTAGTAAGACAGAAGTCCCCAGCTGAAGAAAGGGAATGGAGCTTCTGAAAAAGTTTTTCTAAACAAAAGCTCTTAAATGGAAATTAAAACACCCAATCCCCAAATTTTACTGAGCCCAGACACATTGTAAGATATAATTCTGGGATACTGATACTCATTTAAAAGTGGTGTAAAGCTGATAAGGATTTAAGCCTACCTGCAGATTTGGCTGCCTGGTGTCCTGTACTTTGGGGATGTGTTAAATGCTCGTTCATTTGGTCCAAAGGAAGCTCCCTACCAACAGTGCCCCCAACCACTGTGCCCAAGGAGGAACGAAGGAAGCCAGGCCAGTCGGGGGCCCTTCCCCAGGATTTTACATATGGGTGTTCCAGCCTCCTTCCCCCACCCAAAAAGGGTAGGGTAGGGGGGAAGGAAACCCATTCCTGCCCTGAGGATGGCTTGCTGGAACAGTGCAGAGCTGAAGAGATCTCCACTTGAGCCCACCCTTCTCTGCACTGCACGGATAAGCCCAGGTCCATCCATTAGCAAGATCGAGGTTACCACGGAGAGAGGGACAGAGCTAAGTGACTGAGTGCTGGCACCAAGGTCTGCGTCCCTGGATACCTGAAGCCTGATCCATCCATATTCTTCTAACTGGTCACCTGAGACCATTCATTCCCTTTTAGTCAGCTGCCACCAAGAGTCCTAATTAAGACAGCATGGGAAATTTTTTAATTAGGTCAAGGTGTATTAAAGTTCTTCGACCATAGTTTTTCCTCATATTTGGGGTGTT